CCTCTACTTCTTCGTCGGAGTAACTCGTTGGTTCTTCCCCGGGCTTCAGAAGCTTGCCAACCAGTTCATATTTTTCTGGAAATTAAATATAGAATGGATGTCAGTTTTAAAAAGCAATTATCCAAAGACTAGGGATATGGTCTGAGCGGAATTTAAAAAAAAACTACTCATAAATAAAGCCTAGCTTTCGCCTACGACTCCGTCCAAGTGGAATTAAAAAAAAAAAATAAGTAGTCTATGTGTTCCTGACTATGCTCTAGATCTATACCAAACTTAATCACAATCCATTCAGCCGTTTAGTCTACAAACTCTAACATCCATCCATCCATCTAAACTTTCGCATTTATAATATTAGTACGAAATAAGTTTACTGAGTTATAATGAAGCTTTCCAGTAACATTTAGACATCAGTACATTAGATATCAACTAAAAGAACTGGTTTCGCTCTGTGGATTCCCGGTCATATTATTTTATTATTAAAGAAAATTATCTTTACCAACAGACGTAAATGATAAAAAAAGGATATAAACAAAACAGGTATAATAATATGATAAATATTAATCTACATTCACGTATACGACCTTGAATACGTTACGATAAACAACGAGCTTCAATATTACTCCAGCGAAATAAATTTAGTTTTATTATGTCTCCAGGCCATTATTATGAGTAGCTGTATACCTTTATACATTTCTAATGTTACTAACATTATAAATGCGATATGTATTTTGTTAGAAGGTATGCCCAGAAAGGCTTAAACTTACAGACAGAACACATTCTAGAACACACAGTCTACTGTTATTTTAATTTAAAGATTTATTTATAAAGTCTTTACAAAATTTGTTATAACAAAATAGTGGGCGATCAACTGTTTCCTATACTAGGCTCTAGGCCAGTCTTGGAGCCAGGGTTCTTCCGTCTTAGTGCTAGTTATTTAGGACATAAAGTAATACAAATCTAAAGTAGTATTCGCACAAACAGCGTCGTGGGCGACAGTTAGTATATCTAAAGTTTTTTATATATACTATAAGATCTATCTTTAGGCGTGTCGCCTGCGATAAATGATAGAGGGTAGATAAAGTATGGTCATATTTGTTGCCAGACAAGATATCTAACAAAACATGCATTGATAAGAAAATCATTGCATACAAGTTTTTTAAGATAAGTTTAAAAAAAAAATTTCAATATATATCCTGTTTTAATGTCATGTCATGAACATTCTTCCACAAACAGGTAGATATCACATCTCCACACATTTGTATATTCTTTCTAAATTAATTTTCCTTGGAAGGCAGAAACTATAAAAGTATTTAAATATGAGACTCCACATTTTAATAGTGTATTAAAAAAAGCTCAAGATAATAACAAGTTACAACATTGCCAAGATATCGCTAAAGAATACTTAACTGAGAAGATTAGTCTACAAATTCCGACTAAACATTACTCTATTTTTACTAAATGCGAAAACAATGATATGTTCCATTTTTATTTACTGAGGTAGGTAGAGAAAGCAGAACTACATCGAAAATCGTCTTGTATCGATATTATAATTTTCATGCTGTTAGTCTTACTGTTACATTAAAGAAACGTAATTTAAAAGTAAACCGATCTTCAAAATTAAACTTGTTTCCACATATGACCTACTTTCAATTTTTTTTCTGCAAAAAATATTGGTGCAGAAGGACATTACGAAAGGTATTGGATAAATGAGGCCTTGTTTAAAACAGCTGAAAGTTCTGTTATGCTTGTTAACTTGTTATTTTATACCTTGACTACATAAAGTTAAGACTCATTTTAAAATATATTGTCGTAAAATTTGCATGTTTTTCATCTTACTCAATGTATTAGTTTGAGTACTTAAAATCATGTTAATCAATTTTATCTCTATTGCCTTTAGACTTAAGAGTTGTATTTCAAAATTTGAAGACATGCAGTGCATCCAGACAATGGCTTTGTATGCTTCTTGTTTATATTTATCTTTAAACCATAAAATATTGCAACAAAGATTGTGGTTTTATTTAAATACTTTAATGACTGAGAAAATTAAATTCTTAACTATTTGTTAATTTGTACTTATTTCTAGTTACCATCCTGCTTGAATAAGGAATTATTACACAAGTTATTTCTTAAAAGTGGCTGAAATCATGCAAGTTCATAAATCAACCTCTGTGCATATAAAACAGTACTACTGCAAAAAATGATTGTTTTTTTCCTCTTCAATTTTTTACATTGAACAAAGTTATATAAGTTTACTATAAGAATATGTATATAATGGGGAAAACTCTAACACATAGTAGCTTATGTAATAATCTACAACATTGCATAAAACATGAATTTCAAATATAAACCTGTAGCTCCTCTATTAATGGTGCATGGTCTACCTATTTATCTACTGAATTTTCTAAATTCATGTTTATGTAAAAAAATCAACCCAAGCAATCTACATTTTAATGGTATTTCTATTAATTTTAATTTGTGTGAGGTCAGATTGGCATCATGTGAATTGACAATAAATATTATGTCATTCAAGTTTATGAAACGAAAGGGACAAGGCCTGATGATGAGGTTGATATAATGAAAACATTCACACTCATAACTAAGTAGGATTTGTAGACATTTTTCTGTTTAGTACAGTCCTGGCACATTTCTGCTTTACTTTATTTGTCTTGCAGTAAATAATGTAAATATATTTACCTCTGAACTGCGCCTCCCATTCCTTTACAGAGTCCATTTCCAATGAATTGAGATCACTTAAATCATCATACTCCTTGTCCGATGATGTAACAGAGAATGTTGCAAGTCCTCTTGATGCATCTTTACCACCAAATGCTGCATATGGACCACCTTTAAAATAATGGTATTGATTAAATTAAGAATGCATGTTTAGCAGCAGGTAACTTGACAAACATTTAAGCAATCAAATAATAAACTACACCATTTATATTAAAATACAGAATAATAGTAGCTATTATACTTGAAAAATCTTATTAGAATTTAGTTGAAATTTATAACACATGGTATTGTTATACATATAACCAAATTGCATGCTTGCAATGCATAACAAAACCGGGCGGCGATAAAACACTGACTCACTGTGTCAATTCTATTTATAAACACTTGCATAGCTCCTTCATCAATCTAATTAACTATTCTCATAATTAAGCCTGAATTACTACACTTACCGACAAAATATACTCACCGGGACCATAGAAACGACGTCCTCTGGTGACGTCGAAAATCCAGCCGTTTACCGCTACAAGCACTCGGCCATCGGGCTGTGAACCATCGTATTGCCGTAGCTCAGCAACAGTCATATCTTTACGGAGTTTTGGTAATTCCAGCACCTCCTTAACAACTTTGGTAGACTTGCTTTTATATATTTTATACACTAACACTATAATAATCACAGTAAGAAGTAAGTTCACGGGACTGTATATGAGTTCAAAAAAGATATTACTAAGCGAAAAACTCTCAGGTTCGGGGATTTTATTTTCCGGCGCAGACTCCATATTTAAGAACTTAAAGTTACGGTTAAAAAGATAATACTTTCGTAGTTTTACACTTAACCGTTTGCAAAGAGAGTGTGAACTGTGCGTCTACCTAATTAATAAATAAAATCATTCAAATCAAATCACTGGTGATTGACGTCACCCTTAATACAATTCAAAATGTCGAATTTCGAGTAGTGATGTCTACACACATAAAATCGATTTTTAGAAAAGCGTTTAAACTAACGAAACAAATAAGCCCGGATGATATGTTGATATTATGTTTTTACATTTATCATAAATCCGTCTATGAATATTTTCAGAACATGGCTCTTTAATGAAATGGTTCTATATTCGCTACATTTTTTAACATTGGGAATCTTTGGCAGAGTAACAACTTGAGCCAAACAAATGGAATATGGCCAGTGTCGTCTATAGTGTTAAAGAGATTTACAAGTATTCTAATATTGTTGTTTCTTAGAAACCTTTAACAAACATCTTTATACCAAAACCTCAGTTTAATTGACTAAATTGTCAAAATCATACATGTGTAAAAAATACAGAAATATCATGCATTTAATCTGTCTTCTATGTTATAATTCAGCTTTATCTATAACACATTTTTTTATACCTTATAAGGTGGCAAACGGGCAAGCGGCCACCAGAATCTACCGAAAGAGACCGCTGCCCATAAACATCCGCAATTGCAGATGCGTTGCCGTTGCCTACCCTTAATTGACGGACGATGAGACGCACATAAAGAAGACATTTCCCCTTCCCATGCTTTCCTTTTAAGAAAAGGGTGGAAAGGGAAAGGGACTAAAATAAGGCCTCCGCCACCACACGCATCAGACGAAATGTGAAATTGCTTCCACTTCCCACCTGTTTTCTGTGTGGTCGTGGTATTCCACCTGGCGAACCGACCCATTTGTGCGAAGATGTTAAGCGGACTCTACCACTGTTAACATACCGATAATTTCTTTTTCATCTTATCAACATTAACTTTAAAGCTCCGCCAGAGGTCAAAATCGATAGTGATTTTTGGCGATTCATCGACCAACGAAGCTCAATCAATTCGATCGTGCGTAACTATAACCATAGACAAAATTGACAATTTCAATTTGACAGTTGACGCATTGACTTTGACATGTAATGCGTTTACAGTTTACATACAAAAAATACAAAGTTAATTATTAGTTTCCTTTTACTCCAATTGTACTTGAATAGGTATACATTACAATTTACATATAGATAAGATAATACAGGAATGGTCGGCGTGTCTTTAATAAATTTTACGTACCAAATAGTACTTACAAGTAATTTTGATCTACCGTGAAAATTATAAACAGAGACCGACGGTTTTAAAAATGAAGGAGCATCAGGGTGATTTGTGTTCTAGATATATAAAAATATTTATTGTTGTGTCGTGTTATTGGTGAGTAAATACAATTTACTATACATTATCAAAATCTTAGGTGAAACACTTCTGTTTTTTTTTTTAAATAAAAATGCAAACAAATCTGTAAATGTGTCTTACTCTTTTACTGTTATAACATTTACACACTTTTGATAAAGAAAAGATGTGAGATATAGTCATAGTAATCCAGCTAACTTAATTTACTTACTGCAATATTTATAACTACAGAACCATTTTTTTTTTGTACATATAAGTTTTGTATTATTTCAGGGTTGTGTCCATCGCTACAGTATTTGTTAACAAGACACTATTGAGCAGTGACTCAGTATCACTGGACGCCCCTCTATTTATTACATGGTTCCAATGTGTTGTGTCTTTTACTATATGTTTTACATTAAGTAAAACTGGAGGAATACCTGGAGTATTTAACTTTCCAAAAGGTTCACCATGGAATCTAGAAGTTGTTAAAAAGGTAAAAAATATTGCAGTTATTAGTTTTTGTTGTAAGTCTCTTATATTATTAGTAATTCACAAGGGGTCTATTATTAAAAATTAAACCACTTGTGTATTCTTGTTACGTCTAGAGTTATATCAGGAATTGTAAGGTTTATGTTAAAAAACAATTATGTAAAATGAAATTTTGTCTGTTTTTTTGCTTAGTAAATATTTATGTATTTCAGGTGATACCATTGTCCATAATGTTTACATTAATGATAGCAACAAATAATATGTGCTTGAAGTATGTTGGTGTGGCTTTCTACTATATTGGAAGGTCTCTGACTACAGTTTTCAATGTACTGCTGAGCTGGCTCCTGCTACGACAGTCCACATCTCTGAGATGTGTTTTGTGCTGCACTTTCATTATATTTGGATTCTATTTAGGAGTAGATCAGGAGAATTTATTAGGTAATTATGTGTTTTTCATTTTTATTTACAACTAAACACAAAATAGGTGGCAATGTCATTTAATTGTCCCCAGTTTTATAATTCTACTAGCTTTCGCCCACGGCACCGTCCGCATGATGTTAAAAACAAATACAAATAGCCTATCTGTATTTCAGACTATCCTCTACATCTATGCTAATTTTCATCCAGATCAATTTAGCAGTTTAGGCTACTAATTCTAACAAACATCCATCCATCCAAACTTTCGCATTTATAATATTAGTAAGATTTTAGTCCGCTTTTCTAAGTGTAGTGCACAAGTTGTATTGAAGTTTAAAATAGTGTAAACCCTTTGCATTTGTAAAATATTCTACCAAAGTTAATTTAAATTTAATTATTGGTTTAAACATATAGAAACTATTAAATATTGTTTTTTTATGTCGAATGAAGGAAAAATATTCGATTAATTATTCTAGTTACACCTAACTTAAGTATCGAATTTAAGATTAAAAAAAAGGTTCATTAAAGCGTTTGCCGCATTTATTAACCTAAATAATAATCATTGCTTTATTCTGCCGGTAGATAAGATACGAACGATAATTAGTAAAAAGATATGACCATTTAAATGGTTTTGACTTTACTATCGTGACGAACATCAGGTATTGAACTCCTTGGATTGATAACAGGCGTGGAAAAGAGAAAGAAGTAGGCAATATAGTTCTCGACCTTTCCCAATAATTCCTAATATCGATCGAACATTTTGAAACCTAGTGATTTATAAGAAAATGCGCTTAAATTCAAATGCCTCTACCATATTAAGGGTCGAATCACATATTACCATTATCATTGGGAATCGAAAAATAACAGAAAGACAATAGACAAAAGGTCGAAGGAAAACTGTACTGCAGTAGTAGTTTGTCAGGTTATCCAAAAAATTATGACGCAATATTTACGTAGTATTGCGCCATCGTATTTACGTGATAAAAGATGATTCGTCACTTTAGAATACGTGGCATCGGCATTTCATCTCGTATGATTTTAAATATTATTGAAACATGCCACCATCCTTAACTAATGACATTAGAAGTCCTAAACAGATAACCCTTTGAGCCTATTAATTGTTAGGCGATATATTACGATAATTTGTAACGTAAGATATTACGTCTTATTCACATTAAAAATGCGTTTAGATAGATGGCAGGATGTTAAAGTTTGTAGTCTAAACCGCTAAACAGATCTCGATGAAATTTGTCATAGGTGTAGAGATAGTTGGGAAAAACACAGTCTACTTTTTTATCATTATACGCTTAAGTAGTCGCGGGCAATAACTAGTATTGCATAAATATAGGCGGTTAGTTGACCTTGTTTTATTGTTTATAATGCTGATTATGACAGTTCATAGTTTTTATCAACTAAACACGTACGTGAGACAAGAAAGGTATAAAGATGAACGCGTGGTGTGCGATCGAGTCAGTATTGGCGCGGCTCGAATATGAAGTGGTTGCTCATTGTAGTGTTGTACGAAGTGTCAGCGCTCGCTCTCATTTACAGGATCGTTTTCCCTACTCGGTACCATATATGGAGTTATCGGGTCTTTCATGCTATCACTCTACTCGATATTTACTAAGAAAGTGTTGCCGAGCGTCAACCAGGAAGTGTGGCTGCTGTCGTACTACAATAATGCGTACTCGATCATATTGTTCCTGCCGCTGATCGTGATCAACGGGGAGGTTGGGGTGCTAGTGCAGTATACAGGCTTCGACAGTACCTTCTTCTGGGTGCAGATGGTCATTGGTGGAGTGTGCGGCTTCGCTATTGGATATGTGACGTCATTGCAAATAAAGGTAAGCTTTAAACATATTAATTCTTTGTAATATTTCCTTATACAATACTAATTCTGATAAGTTTCTTTAAAATTATTGGAGAGTAAATTCGTTTTTATTATGAAGATAACGGCTCATCTGTTGCACGATACGTGATGCGACCACGGATAAAACAGAATACCTGCAAAGTTCCCTAAACGTATTAGTAACTACGTTTTTTGCCATTTGCTCGGGTGACACTTTCTTTTCCAAAATTGTACTTATTCTTTATGACGTAATAAATATGGGCTACATTACTAAGGGATAATGTAGCATACTAGTATATACTAATATTATAAATAAATAAAAAAATTAAAAAGCTACGTTATCAGTGAGTGATATGTTATGTTTTTTTTTTTAATTCCACGTGGGCGAAGTCGCTAGCAACAGCTAGTACTAAAACAATTATTAATCACTAGTTTTGAGTTTATTGCTTACAAACATACAAAAATACCAATCTTACCTCTTCATTTTATTAGATATTCTTTTGACTCGTTCATCATGAGTTGACTTTTATTAAATTCTAGAACAAACTGAAAAAATTATGCCCGTGCCGTTTACACTTGGCCCATACCCTATACAACTGGAGAATAACGCAGGTCAAACATGAATTGTACGAAGTCACTGGAGCCAGTTAGTGTTATATTATGCCAGTTGAATGCCAGTCCAATTAAGTGCTATTGACAAACTTTACTGGTCAAGGATGAACCAGGCATTAAGCATGTAGGAATACAAAAGCTTAAGACGATGTAATATATTTCCATATGCGGAAAAATGACTATAAATAATAAAAATAATGCCAATGACATTTCGCAGTAGGTATATCAGGATTGCAGAATGATAAAAAAGTGATTCGATTTTATTCTTTTATTTATGTCCTTATCTGCCTTTAATGGTTTGATTTACAGTTGTTTATGTCTGCACTGGGTATCGAACTTCAGTTATTACCTTAGTAATGTTATGCTTGTGGAATAAATGTTTTTTATAAATAAGGAAAATTAAAATTCATGTCACATATTCGCATTTTCCTTATGCTTCAGAAAGAATCTTCAAAATCAATTTAAATAACGTTATAGCGGATAAAGAGATTTTAAAACCAACAGTGTTGATGTCTTTCTGGAAGTTACGATTAAAGCGGGTTCATTTTTAATTATTTTGATGAGACAACGTCGATACGCGAATAACGCATTTCAGTTCAATGATAAGTCAAACCTTTTATGAGATCTCAGGCCGTGGTCACGAAATTTGCGGCGAGCGGGCAGCGTCACGGGCATAACGGCACAAAAGGCTTAAATTTCTATCTATAATCTAGGCTAAAATCTTACATAGACATTTTATCTGAAGTTTTAAATGTCTATTTCAGCCGGCATTTTAGCCCACTGTGGACGGTTCCGCCCCGCTCGTCGCAAGTTGACCACGACCTCAAAAGAGTAGAATTGTTGATAGTAGAATAGTACTTATATGTGATTTATTTTTTCAGGTGACATCACCTCTAACGCACAACATATCGGGTACGGCAAAAGCCTGCGCGCAGACAGTGTTGGCCACTCAGTGGTACAACGAGACTAAGAACTACCTGTGGTGGTCCTCGAACCTTATTGTATTAGGAAGCAGTGCGATGTACGCGAGGTTCAAACAAATTGAAATGGAAGAGAATTCTAGAAAACCTGTGCCCGAAGAGAAAAAAAGTCTCGTATGACCGTAGATTTTTAATTGCATTTGTTTTAATTATTTTATATTATATTATTTTAGAAGTTTATATAAGTATGTGATTAATTTATAAGTCATGTAAATGTTCCAAAGTAAAACAGCATAGGCTTTATCCAGTGTGATGTGTATAGCGTGGCTATCATTGTAACTCGTCCCAATAAGATTCTCATGCGACTTCTATTGGGATTGGCGTAATCACGAAAGTGGTGGAGTTTTGACCCAGGAAATTAAATATAAGATATTTATAATTTTTAAATGTGAAATATGTTACTAAAATATATATTTCTGTGGACTTATGTAAATTTTTGTTGTAAGTTGACTTTATTTTATGTTCTTTGATTTATCTCGATATTCCTTTATTAAATAAAATATTTCATAATTAAGAATGTATTGTAAGTTGAAATATATTTATTCCTCGTCTACTTTATAAGTCTTTTATCTCGTAAGAATAATATACTACCAAATAGTAACTTCTGTAATATTTCGTAAAACTGACCCTTAATGATTACTTTATAAAAGACCTAATAATCCAAATATTACATTGTAATAAATATAATATGTTGAAGTATTTGTAGTATTTTTATTTTCATGATAAACATAATAAGGAATTACAAATATGAACCCATAAACATAAAGTATACTAGTAACTAAACTGTCTATTACCTCTTATACAAGAAATATCGCTGGATTTATTCTTAAAACTATCTTAATTATTTTCCACTTGTTCTATTAGCATTTTTAACAATTTCTCTTTGATATATCTGTATTTATCTTCTTTGTACACATTATTAGATTCGTCAGGATCAAACAAGTGGTCGTATAATTCACTGCCGTACACTTTGCTCCAATCTCTTCCGAAAGTAGTACTATTAAAAGATATCCATTCAGTAAAACGATATTGTTGTGTTCGTATACTATATCCCATTATTATTATTTCCTTTAAACGAGGTGAATCCGAATTATTACGTGGTGTCACTGACGGTCTAGGATATTGACTTATAGCGAAGCCGCCATTTTGATTTTTACCCGCCATTATTGGAAGAAGACTTTTACCCTCAAAACATAGAGATTTGTCTCTGGTTTTCTTACATTTCGGTATTCCTTGTATACCAATTAGATCGGCTATAGTTGGAAAAACGTCGATTTGTTCAACTGGGGTGTGTATAATATTTGGAGAAAATCCCGGAATGTTAAAAATTAGTGGCACTTTTAATGCTACGTCGAAGTTACTGTATTTTGCCCATAAACCATTCTCACCCAACGACCAACCTGTGAACAAGACATTTAGAAGAAAAAAAGTTAGAACACCTATTCTTTTAATTAAAAACCCATAGTTACCATGATCGCTAGTTAGTACTATTATGGTGTTACTAGTATTGACGTATCTCATTAAATTTCCTATTAGATCATCGATGTAAAGAGCTGCAGCATAATAGTTCCGTCGTATTCTAAACGTCCATTCTGGAGGCATAGTACCCATTGGATACGATATATTAAGTTGCCGTATGTCGTCTCTTTTACGAACATCACGCCACGGATGCCAAGCGACTAATGGCATCTTTTCTGGCATTTTGGGAAACTTTGGCGGATGTATATTATTCTTTGGAATTTGACCTGTAACGTACACAATGCATTTTTAGGATTCATCGGTATACTTTATTCGAAATTTAATAAGAATTAGACGTTTTTTAGCTCACCTAAGTAACGTGCTGGGAATTTTAAAGGTATATGCGGCTTGTGAAACCCAACTGCGAGGAAAAATGGCAGATACTTATTTTCCTTGAGTATATTTATAGCAACTTTTAAAGATTGTAAATCGGGTAACGTCTTATCGGGTTGTTCATTCACCTTTACAGGGCAAAGGAGATTACTATGTAATTGTTTTGTTGCTTTGTCTCTGCATACCGCGGCATCTTTATATACATCAGATGGTGGATGGTAAGGTAATTCTGACCAACTGTATGGGTAATCGTCCGAATAGTTTGAACTTGCGCCCGGATGAAAAATTTTACCCACGGAATATGTGTGATAGCCGTTTGCTTTTAACAGTTGTGGTAATGTTGTAAAATTGGCTACTTCATGGCGCCAATAACTATAAAAATCATAAAGACGTAAGGTGTCCGGCCGACGACCAGTAAGGAGAGAGTTTCGGCTTGGAGCACATAAAGCTTGCTAGTGAAAGAAACAATACATTTATTATTGGTAAATTTCTTGATTTCATATTTTATTAACTTTTTCTACAAATTAGTTTTTAACTTTCGATTCCGAAGAAATGTAACTTTTATATTTCTATGATAAAAAGTGATTATTGAGACCTACCTGACAAAATGCATTTTTAAATGTTATTCCACTTCCCGCAATTTTATTAATATTTGGTAAGTTTACATTTTGATCGTGTAGATGGCGCAAGTCGTCTACATATAAAAATAATATGTTCTTCGTGTTTAAATCTGCTGTAATTAAATGCTTTGACAGTATTACAATAGACAAGTGTGAAAAAAATAAGTTCAAGTAACTACGATTATGCATTTTCTCTTCGTATAGTTGAGCTCTGATTTCCTTTGTGTTGCAAAGTGCACCACTGGGCACAGATTGCATTAAAATTCCCGCGTTATTTCACACCAGTGCTGCCACACGCAATTCACTGTTTACAAATATCTTCTCAAATATTAACTTTTATAAAATAACATTAAAAGTATAGATTTGAAGTAGAGATTTAGAGTAAACTATATTAGTGTACATCAAAGTTTAAATTTGGTTTTTAAACAAATGACCTTGTAATAAAATTACTAAATAGTAGGTCAATTTGCCATTTTCACATAATGTTGGTAGCCATGTACTTAACTTGTGTTGTTATGTAAAGTATAGTTGTATACAAAATACATTCACTCACCCAATACCTTCACATATAAACTATACATATACATTTCAATCATCTGTTCAATGTGGGCGTAGGGATTGTCAAAAACGCTGCTGTATTGTTTTTTTTTTTGCATATAATACAAAAATAATTTAGATTTAGTTGATAAAGAAGTCAAATAAACTCCTCTGTGTAGTGTAAGAGATAGTGTACCAGTGTTTTTGTTTTTCGTGACGTCATTGTTTTCAATTGCCAGTTAAACTACGCAATTACATTGTTTTGCAGAAATGGATCTAAAATGAGAAATATATTAGTTAAAAAGGTGAGTGAAGGACAAGTTCCGTTTAAAAGTATTGTTATAATAACATGAGATGTAGCGTTATACATATTTATTGCATGGAAATTGTGTTTGAACAACCTTTCATCGATTTCCTTTGTCCTATAATGCCCTAGGGGTATAGGACCTAAAATTGTAATTTCTTTACCTGTGTTTTAAAAACGTATTTGTTTTATTTTCAAGTACATGATAATGTATAAATGATAGCCATTTAAGTTTGCAAAAAAAACAAAAATTAATTATGTAATTTTGTTAATTATTATTGAAATAAATTTTGCTATCAAATCTAAGATTTTCATTTTCTTTTGTTTAATGATAATTTATTATTCTGAATATAAATTAGTTCATTCTTATTGACATGCTCATTTGTTTATTTTCATTGTAATGAAAATTAACATATGCACATTTAAATATTTAAGAGGGTTTTTTTGAAGTGCTTTATTAATTAATTAAGAGTTTGAAAAAATTGCTTATTTTGAGCAAAGTTAAATTCTTACATTGAATTTATGATATTTGACTTATATAATCAAGTAGGGTTTATGGTTTACTAATTGGTGTTCACTTTTGAAAGAATATAACTTAACTATGTTTACTATATTTTGATTATATAAATTTAATTATTTATTTAATGTGAAGTTGAACTTGAATTAAAATAAGTAAAAATAAGTAAAATTCTAAAATAAAAAATTATCCATAATATTTTATGGTTCATAGCTGTTTTTCAATTGTATTCATTAAAATTTAATCTTATAAATCCCAATTACAATATAATCTTAACATTTGTAATACAGCTTCATTTCCTTTGATGGATTAATATGTTCAAATGCATAAATTTATTCAATTGTGTGTAGAATTATAAGAATAATTTTTATAGGTCCAGGTCCAATATGTCAGCGGACTCACCGCGGCACGTGCGCTCTGGGGGGCCCCTGATTGTGCCATCACAGCCGCCAAGCGACAGAGGCCTCATAGATGCTGTGTCAGGGTTTATTAATGATGTCACACTCTCCTCTTCTTCAAATGTAGACCCTAAAGATGTCATACAATGGGCAAGGTAAAGCAAGCATTCTATTAAAAATTTCTCGTAATCTATCTATAATAATAATTGTAATTTTGTTTTATTATAATCTGTAGGCTTTTAATTAAAGTTTTATATAATTTGTGCCATTAGATTCGAGACCGCTGATATAAACGAGCCTACACCAGAAGGTGACAGTGATAAAGATGTGTCACCATTACTGCTCATCTTGGGCTATGGCTCCGGGGTGCAGGTATGGCTGATACCAAACTCCGGGGAGGCCCAGGAGGTACTCTCGTGGCGACAAGGCACAGTGAGGGTGCTCCGTATACTGCCCACACCGCAGCACGGCGACTGCTTTGCAGCGAAGAGGCCCCTCATCGCCTTGTGTGATTCAGCAAGCCCTGGACCCACATTCTGCTCACTTAGTTTCATTTCAATAAGAGGAGGGGAACAGGTAAGGCATTGTGAACAATATTTTACAATTAAATTAATGTGAAAGTTAATGTTATGTAGTGCAATAAAATTTAAAATCAGTAAGATTAGGGAAACATACGATGTTATTATCAAATAAAAAATTACGCGCAATTAACATGTCTATTTTAAAATACGCAATATGTTATTGTTTATTTGTGTATTGCATAGGAATAAATGTTTCAAATTGCAGATAAAGAATTAGATACAGAGTTAAACAAGTTAACTGTTGATATTCTCTAACTCTTTATATCTCAAAGCTCTATGAAAATAATTATAAAACAAAAATATGAGCATTGATTTTCAGAAACATACATGTTTATCAGTTAGTGAAACCTAGCTTGTCAAATTGTTTGTTGTTTTGTTTTGTCTACCTCTTATCAGATGTTACGTCTGCCTCGTGGTTAGTTAATGTTCCGCTGACGATAAGCTATTATTATACTACAATCACTTTCGACAGCCGCATAATCTGATTATCCAGCGACTTTGCATAATAAATGTAACATATGTCGATCTTATCTTATTTTATACAGTGAGATGAAGAACCTAGACTTTGTTTTATCGAATTACATAGATCTAGAATTATTTGACTTATGATTTAGCTATTGTTTGCATTCTAGCTAGGTAGAATTTTACGTATAATTTTGTTACGAAGAGTTTTCAAGGTACATAATTAAGTAGTCATTGTAGTACGATAGATGGCGCTTTTTTGAATTACGTTGAACTAAAATATTTGACCTTTATACAAATAGGTGAAGAGTATAAAATTCAAGAACCCTATCCTGGACGTGTTGGCCAACAAGCGGTCCGTGGTGGTATCGTTTTCGGAGAGGTTCGCGGTGTTCGACGCGGCGTCGCTGGAGGACCGGCTGGCGGTGACCACATGCTACCCCTGTCCCTGCCCGCTCGGGGGCAGCGCGCCCGTCAACCCGCTGGCGCTGGGAGATCGCTGGCTGGCGTACGCCGACAAGAAACTGAATCCCACCAAAAGGAGCAGTGGAGGGTGTGAAGGTAATACTGATTATTGATAATGTATCGAGGAAATAATTTGTATTTTAGTATGTAAGTAAAAAAATCAATTAACATATTCATTTATAACATGTATTTGTAATTAAAACATTAGTTTCTATTGCAATATTAGTATCGTAATACGTTGACCTTACCGCGTGGTCATAGTATCGCGCGCTCTACTATCAATGTCTTATTGCCACACTGTACGTGCGGCGTTGGCTGTAGGAATCGCTGCTGTATACATCGCGTTAGAATATACTAACGCGCGTGATATTTGTTAATCACGGGTATTGTTTCCACTTTTGATATGTTCTTAATGACAGAGGTAATTAAAATGGTCAATATAATTAATGGATTCTTTAATAGTTGTGCCTTTCACCGTTTCATTTCTCCATTTATAAATTGAGAAAAAATATTAAGACGATTTAATATTTTTGTTGTATATAGTTTTTATGTTGATTATTGGAATACGTTACAAAAAATAAGTACACAATGTGTTTAATTTTAGTAATTAGATAACAGATGGCGCTTGTGGTTACGAGAAATTTGTTTTTCATTGCCGCCGACAGATGGCGTTATATTTTCTACGCTTAAACTTTTATCACGGTATAGAAGATCTTTCACGACGAATGACTCTCGGCCTGTGTTAACGTTTCGGTATCGCTTCTCGGCCTTTTGGCTAAGATCAAAGTGTAGTATCTGTTCTTTTCAGCTTAATATCTGAA